TCGGCCTGCAGCTTCCAGAGCCAGGAGGTCACCATCCAGGGGCGCTCACACCCCTCTCCCCGCGCCCGAGCCCTTCCAAGCCACTGCTGAGCCCCTAATTACACCCGGGGGAGGAGGGAAAGTGTTAGCCACACCAGCAGGCAGCACCTGTGCAAGATCACTGACCACACCGATACCCTGCTGGCGTCCTCGCCACACCGGCTCCTCACCTGCCAGGGCTGATTTTCCACTCCCTGGTGGGCGAGGGCTCCTCTCAAAGTGTCTGAGCCTTGTGCGCGCTCTCTCTCTCTCTCTCTCTCTCTCTCTCTCTCTCTCTCTCTCTCTCTGCAGGTTTTCTCCATGAGGACAAGAACTGTACACACCATTCCCTGGGAGAGCGTGTATATGCCACACCAGACATGGTATCACCATGCTTGTTCCCATGGTTACCGCATGATGCCGGTCCCCGAGAGAGCACAGGGCAGACAGAGGGAGAGGTGCGAGGTGGCCAGGCCGATGTCACCAGCCTCCTAAACTGGGATTGGCCCCACCCACCCTGACACCTCCAGTCCATCCTCCGGAATCATAGCACAGATGGTCTCAAAGGCACGGAGCTGGGCTCCTCTGGAAACACCTGCCGAAGTGAGATTGGGGGCGGGGCGGGGGGAGGAGGGCTTGCCTGGCGGACGGGGGAGAAGGATCGGGGCGTCTGTTTTTCCGGGCCGGTTCTGCCGTCAGCAACGTGGGTGACGAGAGAATCACCTAGCCTTCCTGCCCTTTCCTCGATTGCAAAAATGAAATGGTTGGGCAGGAACTGTTAGAGTGTTCACACGTCAGAGAGCGCAGAGAAAACAGACCCAAAGACTTGTTCAAGTGACTTGTCTCGCCCTGGCCTGTGTGGCTAAGAGGTTAGAGTAGCAGCCCACATACACACACACACACTCACACACACTCACACTCACACACACTCACACACACTCACACACACTCACACACTCACACACACTCACACACACACTCACACACACACTCACACACACTCACACACACACTCACACACACACACACACACACACACTCGCACACACACACACCTGCCTGGGTTTCAGGTTCAATCCCCAGCCCCTGCCGGGGCACACGCAGGAGGCAACCCAATGATGTGTCTCTCCCCCATTGATGTTTCTCTCTCTCTCTCTCTCTCTCTCTCTCTCTCTCTCTCTCTCTCTCTCTCTCTCTCTTTCTCTGCCCCTCCCTTCCTCCCGCTCTCTCTAAAAAGCAATGGAAAAAAATATCCTCTGGTGAGGACTGACAAGCAGAAACATTTTTAAATGAAATGCCGCGTCGGATCCAAAGGGCGTGGATCCCGGAGCCGGAGCCAGGGCCCCCGGTGCCCGCAGGGTGCTGGCTCCCGTCCCCCTTCCTGCTCGGCAGGACGGAGGCGGAGGAGGCCCTGGCCGGGGCGTTGGGAGGAGCAGGCCGGGCCTGACACAAGGAAGGCCTTGAGCGCACGGAGAAGCCCCGTGTCCCACAGGCCCTGATTCTGGTCCTTCCGCCCGCTCACAGCCCCGATTCTCCAGGAGGGCCCCGCTCCAGTCCCATGATGCTCCGTCGGAAAGATGAACACGCTAGTTATTTCCTAAAGCCTCCGGGCAGAGGCACAAAGGCCCGTCCGGGGGTCATTATTCTCTCTCTGGATGATGATTCATGGGGAATAATCACAGCAAAGAAAACCTGTCCGCGGGCGGGAGGGGGAGGGCGGGCACAGCCCGGGCGCCTGTGCGCGCTCAGCTCCCGCTTTTCAATGTGTGTCTTCATTTGTTAGGCGGTGACAGCGTTTCTCGGCCTCGCTGGCTTTCCGCTCCGGAAACCTGAGGCTTTGTCTCGATCTAGACTGCTGCCGCTGCCACCGCCCGCCCCACAAAACCCCGGACAGGGGCCTGCCTCCCGGGGTGAGCAGAAGCCTCCGCAGAAGCGGCTGTCACCCTGACACCGGCTCCGCTCAGGGTGTCCAGGCCGCAATCTCCACCATCGCCCAGGGCTGAGGTCCGATTGGGCTAAGACAGTTCTCTGGCCGCCGCCGAGGAGCAGAGCGGGAGCTGCCGGGTGGAAGCGGATCCACGCCAGGCCCACCCTGAGACGTAACCTCCTCCCCTCCTCACTGCACAGCCCGGGCAGGAGAGCAGGCAGCCTGCTTTCTCTCTCGCTAACAAGCCTCTCCCTGGCAGGCGGCCGGCCCCTGGCCCTCGCTCACCGCTCCTGGAAGCTGGTGGAGACGGCCCCGGGGTGTGAGATCAGATGAGCCTCTGCTCTGAGCTGCAGGCCACGGGGAGGTCACAGGGCTGTCAGGTGTGGCAGAATGTCCGCCGGGAGGGAGCCGAGCGGGTCTCTTTCCTGGTCAGTGCGGTGCACCGACAATCGTTGGCACCCATCTCCTGAGCATCTCCTCTAGCTGTGCCCTGGTGTGCGTCAGGTGCGTCGCAGCTGAAAAACATTTGCTTTTCCAGCCAGCAAATGTTTACAAAATGGAAATATTTGCTTTCCAGATACCAAAAACAGCATCGCTTAGGTACCAGAAGCACCAGGCCCACCGCGGCAACTAATTCCGAGGAGGGCTCTGCAAGTTATGCGAACTGGTCTAATTTTGCACTTAAAATTCCCTTTGCGTCATTCACATGCGTCAGCCCATTCACACACCGAGTTTTTCTCAGAGTACTAGAGAGCAGGTCCTCGAGGAAAGACATTGCATTCAATGTCCGTACAGGGGTCCTCAAACTTTTTAAAGTGGGGGCCAGATCACGGTCCCTCAGAGAGCTGGAGGGCAGGACTATATGAACTACTAATTCCTACTGTAACACCTCGGCTGCGCTCACTGCCCAAAAAACCTGGCGGGCCGGATCAGACTCCTCTGCGGGCCGCATGTGGCCCTCGGGCCGTAGTTTGAAGACCCCTGGTTAGGAGATGCCATAGGAACGAAACTCTGGTTTGTATCCATTAGCTTAACGATAAAGATGAATTCCTTTTGCTAAAGTCTCAGAACTCGTCGACGATGATAAGTAAGGACTTACTGTACTTCTATTTCTTCCTCCAATGCCTTTCTTCTCTCCTCCTCAAAATAAATAAGTAAATAAACAAATAGCTCCTGCAGAACCAACAGCCTCGTCTCGCCACCAGGAGACTTCGTAAGGAGTTCAGGGAGTGGGAGCGATGTCTAGGTGAGCACTGTGTGCACAGGCCATGGCGGGGAGCGGTCCCGTCAACAGCTGGGGGGTGGGCACATGGATTAGGAGGGGGACACCCTTAGGGGACTCTCTCCCTCAGTGGCCCTGGTCATCTCAGTAATCCTGTTTTCTGCGGAGCAGGGTACCAGAAAGGGGTTGGTTACCTTGGAAACAGGGAGACTTTATTGCATCCCCACCCAGACCAAAGCCTTCGGGCCTCAGCTGCTCTGTCTGTAAGTGGGGAGAAGGACTTCTACGTTGAAGACACGGAAAGCTAAGGAGCTGTTAATGAGTCGCCTTCGACTCCTCTCCCAAGTCAAAAAAGTCTTCAATTAAAACCCAAAGAGAACCCTCCTTTGGGAACCGAGGGGCAGCCCAGCATACCGGCTGCTTCCTCCCTCTGCCGTCCCCCGGCGTTGGATTGGAAGAGGCAAGGAGCCCAGCCTCTGTGAGATGGACAGAGGACGATGCCAGGAAAGGTAGGAGTCAGATTCTTCAGAGGAGAGCTGGGCCTCAGTTCAGACACCCCCTCCCTGCACCCTCTCCCCCCTCACCCTGGTGTGTGTGCACTCAGACACGCAGTCTCTGCTCAGCACCTCCGGGCCTGCCCGCCTGGAGGGATCTGTTCGCAGTGACATCTGAACTCTTGCCAACAACACGTGTTTATCTCTAGGGTCAGCCTTTCCTGTTGGTGCTCAGGAGGCTGGGGGGAGCCAGGAGGGGGGCTGGCGTAATGGCTGTTGGCAGCCACAAGGGGTGGAGGCGTGTGGGCCACGGGGACACGTGATGAGGAGGTCTCCAGGCCGCATGTGGCCATGTGCTTCTTTCCTCCCATCGGCATGAGACCCCCAGCTCTTCTGTTGCCGAGGCAACGAGATGGACATCACCTCACGCAGGGGCGGGCCTCCAAGAGCTGGCTCGGACTCGGTGGGCGGTGCTCCAGGTGGGGGCCGTGGAGCCGGGCCAGGATTTTGGCGGAGTTTCCATTGTTTGGGTTAGGATCTGAGCTGTTGGGACACAGCTGGTTCTGCCTCTCCCTCTGAGTTTAGTCATCCGTGCCGGGACCCCCCGGCTCTGGCAGGGGGACCGAGGGGCCACCCTCCCGCATGAGGCTGGGTCAACCCCAAGAGTCTGACACCCACAGACGTCATTTCCGGGGAGGGGGCTGTACCATCTCCCTCTGGAAAAGCACCCTCCTTACACGTATCCCCACCAGCAGGGGGTAAATGCTGAGAGGTGCCAGCTGAGGTTCCTGTGAGAACGTGTGTTCAAAACCAATCTCAACGTCTCTGATGCAGTCCTCATTTCCAAGAGAGATAAACTCATCCCCTCCCGCTCCAGGTTGAGTTTGGGGGGGCGGAAGGGAAGAGACTAACCATTTGATTCCTCTTCTGCAAAAATGAATCATGCACACCCCGCCCCCCCCCCCAATCCTCAGCCCAGAAATATTTACCCATGTTTATATAACCATGGCAACAGGCTTGATTCTCTACCACTCAAACCCTTTCAGAAAGAGAGACAAGGGGAAGGAGACTCCTGCCTCCTGCTCTGCCCAGAGGACCTCCTGGGGAACAAGGTGAGAGGGAGAGAGAGAGCCCCCGAGCCCGGGCTGTGACCTTGGCCTTCTTGGGGGACCGGGAGCAAGGAAGTCCCAATGGCCCAGCATCACGGAAGGACTTCGCAGCTTGACAGTCATGGTCCTCCAGCGTCCCGAGGGAGCCTCCCAGAAATAGCGCCTCTGGCTTCTCCGGAACCTCTCTCCGGAGCGCGGCTCCGAGATGACAGCCACCGGCGGAAAAGCGGATGGATGGGATGCGGCCTGGCTCTGCCGATGACACAGACGCTATCTCTAAGACGGACTCCTCTCGCCCCGACTACACGGATCGCTGTGGGAGTGGAGTTCCGTGAAGAGGATAAAAGGGTCAGAGTCGCAGAGGTCGAAGCCATAAGCCAGGGACACTGAGGCCAGTGGAAGGACAGCGTGTGCCCACCCAGTCCCTGGAACTGCCATGAGCTCAGCCTCAGGGCCGGAAGCTGTGACCCCCACCCCCACCCCCATCCTCCCGCAGGAGTCCGGGCCTGAGCCCGCGGGATGCAGAAACCCGAGCTTACACTTGACTCTGAAGACTGCTGACCCCCCAGACCCACAGGCTGCTGGGTGTCACAGTGCGGAAGCTGTGCCCTCCGGGCTGGGGAACCCCCTTTGGGGCCTCCTTCCCTCTGAGTCTTCCTCTGTGGACTCTATGCTAGTATCCAGGCCCCTCTTTCCGCCCCATACCACTGGGGTCGCCCCAGGACGGGTCCTGTGGGCTGAGGACAGCAGCTCGGCCCTGGGGGGTGGCTCCCCTCACGGAAAGGAGTCTCTCAGCATCTCAGCTCCCAGCTGCGAGGAAGCCAGAGGGCGGGGAGGGCCGGCGGGGGGCCTCCGGGGAGCAGGTACATGCCATCTCAGGCTCTCCCTGCGGGCGTGGGAAATCCCGGAGCACGACCCCGCGGGTGACCCACGCGAGATCCGGAACAGCGACCTCGAAGAGAGGGGGGGTGGAGGGATGGGCACCCGGCCTGCGCCCCTCCTTTCCTCACTCCATCCCTCAGCTACCGCCCAGCTCCTCCCCACTGGGCCCTCGGGGCGAGGCCGGACCACGTGGGCACGTCATTATCATCGAGGTCCTGGGAGAGGGGACTCTGCAAAGTCTTCTGCCTAACGATGGCCATGGGCACCCTCCTTCCCTCCCGCTCCTCCTCCGGCTTTAACTCAGCAGAGCGCTCTTTGCTGACCCGGAGCGGAGTGACCGCGCGCCTGCCCCCTCTTTCTCGCCTTCTGTGAGGTCTCCAAGGTTCTGTCCGGCTCAGAGGCCCTACATTCTGCCTGGGGCGCTCTCTCCCCGTTAATCACCTTGGAACAGCAGGTCGCTAATTGCCCCAATTACTCCCGACCCGCGCCACACCGCCCCCCCGCGGCCGGGCCGGGGGCGCAGCGCCGGGGCGCACGGAGCCGGCGGGGCGGATCGGAGCATCAGCCGGGACTCGGGGCCCGGGCGGCGCCTGTGGAGCAGGATCGGAGCTGCTGAGTCCCTCTCCCTCCGCCGGCCGCCTCCCGCGCTGGGAGGACGGAGGCCACCGGGGCCCCGGGCGCGGGAACCGCGGCTCCTCCACTCCCGGCTCCGCCGTGGGGAGCAGCCTCCCGCGCCCCTCCGTTCTGTTTCCAGAAGGAAACGCCGCCGCGAGTTCAGAACGTGTCTGTCCCGTGTCTGTCCCGTCCTCCTCCGGTCCCGCGCCGAGCAGAGCCCCCTGGGCCGGTCCCGCTACACCGTCCGAGACCCCCGGCCGGAGGGGAGGGCGGCGGGCCTTCCCTGTGCGAACTGAGCGAGCGGACTGGCGGGAGGACCCTCCACTTGGAGGGGGGGGAGTGGAGGGAAACAAACAAATAAACAAACAAGCAAACAAAGAGCCGCGGGCGGGGCAGGCGGAGGTCGGAGTTGGGCGAAGGGGCTGACACTCAGCCTCTCTCCGAGGCCGCTCCCCGCGCCCACCCTAGGGCGGCGCTCACGGTGCCCAACGGGGCTCCCGTGCTTGGCTGGCGGCGTCGGCGCAGCCTGGCGTCTCCGTGCCCCGCGCCGGGATGCCCGGGACCGGGGCCCCCGCCAGCCCCCGCGGACCCCGCCGGCCCCCCGCCGGCCCCCAGGAGCGGCGGCCCCCCGCCGGCCCCCGCCGGCCCCCCGCCGGCCCCCCGCCGGCCCCCGCCGGCCCCCCGCCGGCCCCCCGGAGCCGCGGCCCGGGCCCAGCGCGAACCCCCGCGGCCGCACGGCCAGCCAGTGGGCGCGCGGTCCCCGCCCCCCCCCGCCATGCGCTCTTCTGATTGGCTGAGGGCATCCCCCCTGCGCGCTGATAGGCTGGCCCGCTCCTCCCTCCGGGGCACGGGCCGCGCGCAGCCGGCTCGAGGAAGCCGCTCCGAGTCCCGCAGGCTGCGCTCCGGCCGCGGAAGGCGCGGAGCTCGGGCCCGGGTCCTGCCCGCGGGGCGCGCGGTCCGGCGGGGCTGGACGCTGTGGCGGAGCCGGCCCGGCCCCCGGGCGCCTGAGGACGCAGAGCGGGGACATGGACTGCTATCTGCGCCGCCTCAAGCAGGAGCTGGTGAGCGAGGCGCGGGCGCCGGGGCGGGGGCGCCCCGGGGGTCTCTGGGCTCGCCGGACCCGGGAGGGAGCCCGGGCGCGCGGGGAGGAAGGGAGGCCGAGGAGGAGGCGGCGGGGAGGGGACACAGGGCACTGGCAGGCAGCGGGCAGCGCCTGTCCCGAGGGAGAAGGGCCACGAGGAAACTTGAAGCGAAGATCGGGTGCGAGTGAGGCCGCAGGGACAAGTGACAGAGGCCGAGCGAACCCATCCCAGACCGAGGGGTTCCGGGGAGCCCTGGGCGGAAAGAGGGCGCGCTCCGGGGGCGCACCCCGAGACGCGCGCACAAGCGGACGGAGAGGGACCGAGACGCTCGCACAGGATCAGGGCGCGGTGGAGGGTGAAAAGGGTGTAGGGATTATGAAGAAGAAGAAAAAGGGGGGAAACAAAAAGAAAAAAAATCATCATAGACCCAGAAAAAGAAAAAAGAAAGAGAGGGACGCGGGGTGCCCGGCTTCTGGGGTGGCCCTGGGCGATCTGGGGCGGGCGGGGCGCGGGGAGCGCCCGGGGCAGCGGGGCAGCCGGGGACCGGTGGCTGGAGAGGAGCTGGCACCGCCCGGGGCCGGCTGTCTGCCCGGGCCTGCCCGCCAGCAGGGAGGGGGCTGGCAGCTGGGGCGGCGGGGAGGGCCCGCCGGGCGGAGGGAGCGCCTGGCAGATCGGGAGCGGAGCCGCGGAGGCCCCGCCAGATGTCAGGTCCGGACGCGGGGCGTGCGGGGCGGGGTGCGGGGTCCGGGAGAAGCAGCTCAGGGTGGTGGTGGTGGTGGTGGGGTATCCAGGAGGGGTGAGGGGTGCCTGCTCCAACTCTGGCTGATTCTCACTGACTTCCTATACCCCCGCCCCTCCCTGCCACCATGCATTCATGCGGACGGTCCACCAGGCTCTCTTCTGCCCTCGCTTCCGCCTCCTTTTGTTTCTCTGGGAGCCAGCGACTTCCCAGCCTCCCCTTTTCTGTCCTCCTCCTCCTCCTCCTCCTCCTCCTCCTAACTTTTCAGAGCCGGGCACCCAGGCTCTCAACAGCAGACCTGGGTTCAGGCAGTGCCAGCCCTGGGCTTGCCACCCATGGCATCCTCTCCCCTCCCGCTGCAAACCCTCACTCCTCCCGCTGCTGGGACCCTGGCAGCCTGGCAGGGCCAGCTCTGCGGGGAGGGCCGCGGAGAGCAGGTGTGCTCTGTGCGGGTCAGGCTCCGGGTCCGGCGCTCCAGGGCCGCCTCCTCAGCCGGCAGGCACTCCTCTGGTGCTTCCTCCTGGCCACAGTCAGAAGGGAGAGTTCCCCAGCGAATTCGGGGAGTGACAGGAGGGTCTCCATCCTGTCCCCTCCCAGAGGAGTTTCTCATGCTTCCCAAGGCCGTTTGGGACGGCTGGCCGCGCCCACGCGTACACAGTTCTGACCTTTCCCATGCGCTTGTCCAACACCAGGGAGGAAGGTCAGGATCATCACAGATAATGTCTGAAGTCCAAGGCCCAGGCTGAGGACGGAACCTAGCAGAATCTTTTCTTTTCTTCTTTTTTTTTTCTTGGAATCTGGGACCACGCCACCCACTCCAGGATCTGCCTTAATAAAGGGTTTGTGGGTGTTCCTGGCATGGGCTGGAATTTTAAAATCCTACCGATTTGCATTTTTTACTGCACCCTTGGTGGGAGGCGGTGAGGGAGGGAGGCAGAGGCTGTGGGTGCCAGGAGGACAGAAAAGGCAAGCAGCATCTGCACCGCGCTGGGCTCCCAGTCCTGGTTTGCACCGGCTCCTGCCAAGGGCTGGAGCCCCTGGTCCTCAGAAAGCGGAAGGGGCGAGGCTGGGGTCCTCAGCTCCCCGTTCGCTCTCCTTTGGCCCTTTGTCTGCGCAGCCTCAGCCTCTGACTCTCCTGGAGAGGAAGCCAACTGCCTGGCCTGGGGCCCAGAATGACACTCAGCTGGGAGAGCTATGCACCCTCCCCCCCCCCATGGGGCTCCATCCCCGCCCCCGTGCCAGTCCCCCGGAAGGGAGCTGGCAGAGTGACAGGCAGAGCTGTGACAGTCTCCTTCACTCCCCGACACCTCCGCCCAGCGCTTAGGTTGCTGAGCCAATCTCAGCGCCTCAGTTTCCCCAATGGGAGTGGAGAAAGCAGAGCTGAGCTGGCCCTGGCTCAGCCCTCTGGCTCTTGTGAAGGTTGTGGGGGGTGAATTCCTTGCAGCTTGGTTGGCATAGGAAGGTGTTGGCTTATTTATCCCCCAGGTCCGCAGTAGGGGGGAAGGCATGGCGTTTGTCATGAGTTTGAGGGTGTGTGTGTGTGTGTGTGAGAATTCCTCCCAGCCAGAATCATCCCTGCCGCCCAGGAGGACTGGCGTGGCACTTGTGGAATAGCAGTCAAGTCCGACATTGATTCCACGACATTCCTTTCCAGCAGCGCTGGCCCCGCAGACCCTGTGGGTTAGACCTGCTGGGAAAGGGAACAGCCAGCGGCTGTGAGGCGGCCTCTGTCTGGGCCTCCCGCGCTGCCCTCCTGCGTCCCGGCCCTGCCCCGGGCCCAGGAGAGCCAGACAAGAAGAGTCTGTTCCCGGAAACCAAAGGAGCAGCGTTTCCCGAATTCTGGGGGCAGAGCATGCTCTGTAATGAGGGGGCTCGGGCGGGGAGGGTTTGGGGCTGAGGGTTGGGGGGTCTTGGCTCACTTTGGTTCGTGTCCAGAGAGCCGGCCCCTGGGCCCTGCCGGGTCGGGTTTCAGGGATGAAATGTGGCGGCGAAGGAGCAGCAGCAGACGCGCTTCTTCAACAGGACGAGGGGCTCGGGGGCTGCACCTCCTCAGCAGGGAACACGTCTCTCCCGGCTCTGGCCGCCAGTGCCAGCGAGGGGCCCTGCCCGGAGCACACGGCCTTGGGACCAGCTGTTGCTCACACTCGGGTCCCCGAGGGCTTCTAACAAAGGGGCAGACACGGCCCACGAAGGAAGCAGATGTGAGATGCTCATGAGTTCAGATCAGTAGAGAGCAAACAAAGTGCATAGAGGCTGAGCAATGGGGGCTTGGAGTACAGCCAGGCTGGGAGGGCTTCCTGGAGGAGGCGGCGGTGGATGGAGGCCAGCTCTTGGAAGGTCCGCCCCAGCGGAGGCCTGGGGAACCAGGAGAGGGACTTCTCTCAGGCTGGAGAAGGCCATCCTAGGACAGCGAGGTGTTGCTAGAAGGTAGGCCGCTGGTGGCCACCATTCCGGAGGCTCTGGCATCTGGAGGGGCACCAGGCCTAAAGGCAAGGAGAGGAGGAGGAAGGATGGTGACCGGGGAGACACGGCAGAATCGGCCTTCAGTTCTTGGTGCAAAAGAGCACATTGCTGAGGCGGGTCCACGCTTTTTCAGAGGACCTCACACTGCCGTTCCCTCGATGTGCAGAGCTGGGGCAGAGAGGCGTTTGGAGAAGCCTGGCCAGTGTGGCTCAGTGGTTGAGCGTGGACCTATGAACCAGGAGGTCACGGTTTGATTCCTGGTCAGGGCACAGGCCCAGGTTGCCGGCTTGATCCCCAGTACGGGGCGTGCAGGAAGCAGCCCATCAGTGATTCTTTCTCATCATTTCTATCTCCCTCTCCCTTCCTCTCTGAAATCAATAAAAATACTTTTTTTTAAAAAGAAACGGAGGCAGAGGATGGGCTAGAAGGCTATCAGAAGAGTCCGGGCAGGAGTGTGAAAGCCGAGCTAGGAAGGAGAACGGGAAGGTAACTTTTTGAGGTCCCCTGGATGCCCCCGGAACTTGATTGACGGCCGGCCGGGGACAGGAGTGAAGCTGCGGGAGAAGGGCCCGGTGGGGCGGCCAGGCCAGCGGAGGGGGGAGAGCGGGCACCTCTGTCTGCCTGCTGCTTGCCGAGCACACAGCCCCAGGCGCTGGCCCGGGTGGGAGAGTGGGCTCATCCGTCACAGAGTCCTCCTCCCTGCCCCTCCGCCCCCTCCGGTGCTTGGCAGAGCTTCTGCTCTACCTTCCTGTGGCGCCTCCCGCCGGGCAGGGCCGTGAAGGTCCCCATTCACAGGCCGGAGAACGGGCTGCTTGGCCCACGCGGGGCTTTTCCCGTTTCCGGCCCTGACCCTCCTGTAGCTTCCAGAGGGACTGAAAGGCGCTGTGTGGGGAGCCTGGGAGGGCGGGGGCGGGGGCAGACAGGCAGGGCACACTGCCAGGCCCGCGGCTGAGCCGGAGCTGGTGTCCCAGGATCCTGGCCCGGCGGGGAGAGGGCGTGAGACGGCTGTCGGAGGCACAGCTGTGGGACCCGTCAGGGGCCAGGAGAGGGCGGAGGGCTGCCGAGGATGCTGGTGCCACCCTTTCCCCCCTCCTCGCCTCCCACACAGGCGAGTGCCCCCCAAGGGTGCTGGCCACAGACAGCTGACCCCACGCGCCCCCCTTGAGGGCTCGGACCCGGAGGTCCAGGATGCTGGGGTCTGGCTTCCCCTCCCACCCGGGGCAGCCGGGCCCCTCCTCCAAGGAGCTATCGGAGTGGGTGGCACCTTCCCTGGCCCCTGGAGTCCCTCCCAGACCTCGTGTTCCTCTCTCTGTACGATGGGACTCTGCACGTCCCCGGGGCAGCCTGGTTTCCGTCCACAACAATCCCCGGAGGCGGGGAAGTGAGGGTGGGGGTGACAGGGAAGCTCGGTCCTTGAGTGAGGGCCAGGCTCGGGGGACTGGGGTCCGTCCGTCCTCCCACGAACACGCAGGAACCCCAGGCAGCAGATCGATGTCTCCACTGGAGGTGCTCAGGGCGACGACGTAGGCGACGCTCAGATGAAAAACCAGTTTTAGACCTGCCATCTGCTCCTGGCGGGTGACACACGTCTCATCTAGGTTCCTCTCTAAAGGCATTCCCACAAGCAGCAGACATGGGTAAGGCATTAAATCCCAGGAAGAGCCTAGGCCGTGTGCGGATACGGTGAAAGCCGTGAGGGGGGTCTCGGGAAGAATGTTCGGGAGACACCGAGGGAGAAACTGGACCTCCAGGCTGCGAGTCCGCCGAGTGGGGAGGACTCCTGCCAGCCTCCGGGGCCACCACGCGGGGTCGGATCTGGCCGTGGATCGGGGAGGGTGAGCGCCACTGTCCACGTGGGAAGGGTCATCGTCTTACGGATTCATAACCCGGAGCGCACGGGTTGGCGCATCTGCCCGGAGTCACGGGGCCTCAGGCCGCAGCAGGCGGCTCTGCCCAGACCGGAGGGCGCCGGGCGGAGGGAGCCAGGCTGGTCTCACTGCAGCGTGAAGACACATTTCAGAAGGAAACACGGGGGGCACAGGAGGGGCGGGGGTGGAGGAGGACTGGGCGGTGGGTGATGCCAGGAGCACGGGGGGCCCCGTGTGGCCTTTCTCAGGAGGATCCCCACACCGTCGCCAGGATGGGGGAGATGTTCGCAGCGGAGCAGACAGACGGAGGCGGCTGTTGGCTCTATTCCCGCCCTAACCCTGTGGGGTGTGATTCGGTCCCCCCGCCCGGAGGCGGGGCCTCGGTGCGGTGGCCCTTCCTTCGCTCCCACCCCGCACTGCTCTCCTCTCCCTCCTCTGGTCCTGAGGCCAGGAAACCCTGCGAGAGAGCCGGTCCCACGCTCCGGACCAGACAGCAGCTTGCCCCTTGCGCTCTCCTGGGGTGACATCATTCCCTCGGGGATCGGGAAAGGCCGCTGCTCCTGCCTCTGTTTCCCATACTCGGCTTCCTTCTTCCGTCCTCACCCTTCAGTGTCCACACTCCCGGCTGGCTGACCGGGCCTGCCTGACGATGGGCAGCCGGGCGCCAAGGCCCCCCTTCCCCTCCCCATCCATGTGGGGCTCCGATAGAGCAGAGCTGGAGATGCTTCTCCTTGGTCAGACCCAGTCATTACTCTGTATTCAGACCCACGGAGGAGGAATGTTCTGGAAGTTCTCAGGAAGCCGTGATAACAGTCCCACGTCACCTCCAGGCCACTTATAATCACGCACGGCCTCACCCTATCCCTCCAGAGCTGTACCTACAAGGCAAGGAGTCTTATTCCCATTGTAAAGGAGGGAGGAATCGATAAAACAGGATTTCAATAACCCGCCCAGATCACGTGGCTCTTACCTGGGAGAGGTGGGATTTGAACCCTGCCCCACTTGTCTCCAGAACCCAGGAGCCCAAGCAGTACAGAGCACCCCTTTCCATAGGGCCGTCCTGTCCGCGCCTGCTGACGTAAATGCGGCCTCTGTTTTATGGGCAGCCGGGTTCATCCGTACCCACACGTTCATTCTCCCGGGAACGCCGCACAGAACGTCGGCATTCTTCCCCAGGGACTCTCCCACATGAGGAGACTGAATGGGGTCATTTCACTCCTCCCGGCCTCTGGCCTGGCCTGTGTTCAGCCTCCAGGAGGCTGCAGGCTCAGACTGCTGGCCTCGGGGCAATGACACCCTGAGGTCTGTCCCTGTGCAGTGAGGTGCTGTCCGGGCAGCAGGCAGTCTGCGGGGATGGTTTGGGGGTCCAGTGGGACTCGGTTTGTTTTTACTCCTCACCCAAGGAGCGAGCATACTTTTCCCGTTGATTTTGAGAGAGAATCATCGATGTGAGACACATCGACCAGTTGCCTCCCACAGGTGCCCCCACTGGGGGCGGGGATGGAACCTGCAACCCAGGCACAGGCCCTGCATCGGGAATGGAACCCGAGACCCTCCAGTGTGGAGGCTGATGCCCTAGGCCCTGGGCAGTGTGGTGTGGAGCAAGTGCAAGGTGCTAGCGGGGATCTGGGGAGACATAGGAGGCCCAGGCCCGCCCTCCATCAGTAGATGCACAATGAATGCCGCCCCGCTGACAGGAGCCGGCGGGGACAGGCATTTTAAGTGTCTCAGAGGAGGACTGGCAGGCGCTCTGGCGGCCGAAGGCCTTGGAGGCCTCAGCATTTCAGACGGAAAGGCAGACAGGAGGCATCGGGGGACAGGAATGGGGCCGCGCAAAAAGGACCCCAGGGTGAGGAGGAGAGGGCATGGGGGCAGAAGGGGGCGGGAATCGGGGGTCAGAGGAGCAGTTTGCTGTAAGGGACCGTGGAGGCTTAGGATGAGGGCTCGGGGTCTCCCCAGCTGAGGAAGGGGCCACAGGAAGCCAGCCGCCCCCGGGCCGATCGATGGCACCGGCTGGCCTGGGCAGCTGGCTGTTGGGGGCCGGACAGGTGGGGGAGGTTCTGAGTGTGATTCCCTCAGGACCGTCAGCCCTGCACCGCTAGTGGGGCTGGCTCGGCAGATCCTGCCCTGCTCCCTCCCCCCAGAGCCCGGCTGGCTGGGGAGGGAGGGCCCCGGAGCCCCCCACCCCTGCCTCCAGCCCGGGGCTGAGCCGAGTGCATCAGGAGGGCTGGGCGGTAAGATGATCCCGCGGGTCCCGGGGGCTTAGGGAACAGATGGCCCCACACCAGGGGCGGCTGCCAGTAACCTGAGCGGAGCTGGTGGGACGGGCAGCTTGGGCCCGGGCAGGAGCCTCTGAATGTTATCAGACCCCGCATCCCCGTCCAGCCTCCAAACTCGGCCCGCGCCCAGTCCATCTCCCAGCCCCTTCCAGCTGGCACCTGGGCCGCGGGCCTCAGACGCCCACAGAGGGGCTGGGGGACTGGCCCCCGGTGGACCAGGAAGGCGGGGGGGGGGGCACCAGAGCGGCTGGGAGAGGACAGGTGGTCAGAGCACTGGGAAGAGCACTGGGAAGAGCCGGGCGAGCGTTTCCACAAACAGGAGCTTCCTGACCTCCGCCCTGGCAGCCAGATGTGCCCAGCCGTGAACGGAAACCCCAGCCAACGGCTTCTCACGACGAGGGAGCTCCTCCTCTCCCCCCTCCACGGGGCACGGGGCACGGGGCACAGGCAGCCTGACGCCCAGCGCCACGGCTGCCGCCTTCCATGTGCCGGTGTGAGGGCGCTGGCGCTGGGACAGAGATGTGCTGTGAGCCCAGCCCTGGGCGCTGTGGCTCAGGCGGGTCACCTCGCCCACTATGGCAGCTCATTCGTCCAGCTGAGGACAGTGATGTGTAAAGAGGAAGGGCGGCGATGCTCGGAGCGCCCTCGGCACCCTGCCGGCTGCAGAGTTCATGCTCACAAAGCGTCCTTGTCCTTGTCATTGTCATCATCTGGAGGCTCAGAGGCAGGGGCACAGGCACAGGAAGGACAAAGGCATTATGTCCACATCACAGCTGGGCGCCCCTCACCATGATCCATAAGCTGAGCTCACCTCTTACTAAGCAATCTTGAGCAAGTTACTTGTGTGCCTCAGTTTCCTCATCTGTAGAATGGGAGCACCGCCAGTCGCTAGCTCACAGAGCAGTCGGGGAGCTTAAACAGAGGTTCGTTTGTATTCAGGCCTCTACGCATACAGCCTCAGGGCCTGGAGCAGGAGCTGCCGGAAGCTATCCTTTATGTAGCACCCCCCATCCCCGGGTTAAAGGTCCTCCTCAGCCCCGGCCTAGGTTTACAGGTGGGTCCCTGGCAGCCGGAACGGCACTGGAGGTGGGTGTGGGGGAAGGGGTCCAGGTTCAGGGCTGATGGGGGGCGGCTCTCCCCGCCCTGCCCAGCCCGGCTCACTGGCTGGCCCTCCTGTCTCCGCAGATGTCCATGAAGGAGGTGGGCGACGGCCTGCAGGACCAGATGAACTGCATGATGGGGGCGCTGCAGGAGCTGAAGCTCCTCCAGGTGCAGACGGCCCTGGAGCAGCTGGACATCTCCGGGGGGGCCAGTCCCCGCACACGGCGGGAGCCCCCTCCCTGGGAGGGCGGCAGAGGGGCCCCCCCCTCCGGCCACGCTTCTCCCGGGAGCAGAGCCCGGTGCCCGTCCGGCAGGAGCGTGCGGGGCAGGGAGCCGGCTCTCGGACCCAGGACCCAGCTGCCAGAGCTGCCAGGCTGTGGCGAGCAGAGGCCCGGGCTGGGGGAGCCGGACGACTGGACCTCCACGCTGATGTCCCGCGGCCGGAACCGCCAGCCGCTGGTGATGGGGGACAATGTGTTCGCGGACCTGGTGGGCAACTGGCTGGACCTGCCGGAGCTGGAGAAGGGGGAGCCCCGGGGGGCGGCGGGGCCCGGGGCAGAGCGGGACCGGCCCCGGGAGCGGGGCCGCAGGCTCGCCCTGACCGCCAGCATCTTCCGGAAGTTCCTGCGCAGCGTGCGGCCCGACCGCGACCGGCTGCTGAAGGAGAAGCCGGGCTGGGCGGCCCCCGCGGCCTCGGAGCCCCGGGCCGGGCGCTTGCACAAGGCCAAGAAGCGGGGCCACCCCAAGGGTTCGGGGCATCATCTCCCCTCCCGGGGCGCGGGGGAGCCCACGTCCCCCGGCTGCCCCAAGGCCCCGGAGGCGGCGCCCTCCGGCTTCGACATCAACACTGCGGTCTGGGTCTGATCCCCGCACAGAGGTGGTCTGAACCCCAAACCCTGCGGGGCCCTGGGGACGCGGCTGGCGCGGCGTCCCAAAGCCCAGCTCCGGGTTCCTTTTCCCCAGAGAAGAGGATGCCAGGCGGCCTGTGGTGGGGAGACGGTGACGGCCGGCTGGCAGGGGAGTGTGTGTGTGTGTGTGTGTGTGTGTGTGTGTGTGTGTCTCATTCTGGGCTGGAGGGGGTGAAAGGGGAGGAGCCCAGACAATCCTTCTGACCGTCCTCACTCTCCCCAAAGACCCAGGTGAACGTTCTATATGGACTAGGGCCTCAGGGCCTCGGGCTCCTCAGAGAAGCCCCCAATAAAGATCTCAACTCTCGTGTCCCCATAACTGTTTGCTTCCCGGGCAAACCGCTGCTCCTGGCACAGGTATTAACCCTGAGCCTCCCGGGAGGGGGGCAGCAGAGAGAAACCCCACCCCTCCTGCGCCTGCTGCCCTGAGCTGTCAGCCGGCCCGGGTCCGAAAGGGCTGGGTCGGCAGTGCAGGCATAAGGGATCCTGGGGGAAGCCCTTATCTTTCCAAACGAGAGAAAGAGATCCCTGCAGCCCCGGGAGGCACAGGGAAGCCTTTTCACACCCATCATCTCCCGTGCGAGCCAGCGAGGAGGCAGGTATCGCCCCCGAGCCCACAGGAGGCACCACCTGTCCTAGGACACACCAGCGGGGCCCAGCCAGGTCACACTGCTCCCCACAACACCCTGTCTCCAGCCCTGCACCCCCATTAGGACACAGGGTGTATACACTCTCCAGCGTGAGTGAGCCCAGATGGTACTAACACTCAAATCCCTAGCTCCCTCTCTGGCCTCTTCCCACCCGCCCAGAACCACCCTGGGGAGAGGGAGAGAGAGAGGGAGGGCCCCCGGCAGCAGCTCAGCTGCAGCCGTGGTGGTGGCACGTGGCCCAAGAGCAATGCCACCCCCGGGAAGCCACCAGCCCGCCCCCTCTGGCCTGGAAAGCCCGCTGGCTGGGAACGGACAATGCAGGGCCCTGTTAGGGCCCAGCCAGCCTGGGAGGGCGCACCCTCCCTCCCCTCCTCCCCTCCCGCCTGATCTGCCCTCCGCCTGATGGGAGGTGACAGCTGCAATTAGAGGCAAGCCGCCTTCCTGCCCTCAGAGCGTTAATGACAAATTGGAGAAGGAAAACGAGAAAGGCTCTTCTGCAGCCCAGGCCCCCAGGGAGGAGATGGGGTGTGTGTGTGTGGGGGGGGTTGCAGTGAGCAGCTCCAGAGGGCGGTTAGGGCTGCTCCCGGGTTGCCACCATCATCAGACGGTAGGTGTGTAGTTCCGATGGCAGAAGTCACAAGAGGAAAGGCCCAGCCTGGTGGTTTCTGAGAGCCCCCTATTGCCGGCGGCACGCACATCCTTCAGACCTGGGAACGCCCTCGGAAGGCGCTGCCATCCTCGGAGCAAATGGAAGCAGCCGGATGGGAAGCAGAGGGTCCTCTGACTCTGACACCAACTCTCAGCTCTCCCAGCATTGGCTAACGCGGCTCTCTTCCTGCCTGAGGGAGAGAGCCCCCCCCCCCCCAGCCCCTGCTCCCGGGTCTCCCCCAGGACTCAGCCCCGGGGGAGGCCCACAGCCTGGCTGCCTGCGGGGGGGGGCGTGTGAGTGCAGATTCCACCTATGGCTCCCTGAATCCCGAGGGAGAGAAGCCATCCAGCAAATTACTCAAGAAGGCACCGGGTCCGAGTCCAGAGCAACTACAGGAACCCGAGCCACCTCTTGGCCATTCGCCTGTGACTCCTGTTCTGTGGGCCAATCACAGGGACTCAGACCAAACTGTGGGCGCCTCCCAAAGCCAGGCACTGCGACAGAAACGGAGAACAGCGATGGAAAGGACCCAGTTCCTGATCGGGGCCCAGAGCGGGGAGAGAAGCAACATGAACCCACCGGGGAGCCAGGATTCCAGGGAACCAACACCCCTTTTAACTTGGGGGCTTGGGGGGGGGTGACAGACAAACCGACCAGGAGTGCCGTCCGTCCCCGGCGACATCACTGTCGCCAGCACCTTCAGGTTGTCTCCTCCCACCGCCCCTGGAGGTGGCTGCTGGGACTCGTTCCCCAGGGAGCGGCTCGGAGATGGGCATGGGCCAGCGGCAGAGCTGAGAATGGAACGCGTCCAGCCGGAAACAGTCCAGCCCCGTGCTCCTCACGCGTCCCACAAGCTGCCACCTCTGCCCCGAAGCCAAGCCAGAACCTGCCCTCTCAGGCCCCAGGCCTGGAAGTGAACGCTGACTTGGGTGGGGAGATCTGCCCGGGTCACAGCAGGGCTGGTGTGAGGCCTCCTTGCTGTGCTAGGCTTTGCTAATGAAAGCGTATGGCCCATTCATTCACCTCCCTCCCCCCCATGTTTCCTTCCTCCTCCCCTTGTGGGCTCCCGCAGGGACTGCGACCAGGATGGAGACTACGCTAGGGAGGCTGAGGGAGGCCAGGAATGCCGGGGCCTAAGTGAGGAGGAGGTGTGGCGATGGCGTGGAGAGCTGTGGATAGTGGAAGCACACAGCAGAAACTGACAGCTCAATGCTGCCCCTCGGGCTCATTTTATGGTTAATTAGGACATGCAAATAAGCTGGAAGCTCATTTCACATTCTCCCTGGCCTGGGGCCCTGCCTCACACCTGGCCTGCTTCCTGGCAGGTACTGGGCCCCCGATTGGCTCAGGCATCTGCTCAGGGTCCCCACCTGCTTCTTTGTGGTCCCGTGGCCGGTCTGTGCCGACCATCAGGGAGAGCTAGGAGAGGAAGGGCCTGCCCCCTCCTTCCCTTCTCTCTCCAGCCGTCACACCTCTGCCCTCAAGCACTTCCCCTGCACCCACCCCGACTCAGGCTGAGATCTGAACCCCAACTTGCCCTGAGGAAGAGACTACGTGGTTCAGCTGTCGCCACCTCAGCCCCCTGCTTCCCAGAGCAGGGCCCCATAGAAGCCAGAGCACAGCCTGTCCCTCTGGGGAGCAGGGCCTGTGTCCCCAGGTGACCTCCCACCAGGGCACCTAAGGCCCTTCTGCTAATGCCAGGGCGCACGCTCCGCGACTGGAGGCGGACACACAGGACGTGAGGCCCCTGTCCCGGCTGAGCCTGAGCACGCCGCTGGGCCCCTGGGAGCCCATTCTCTTCACGGGGGAACAGGGCCCAGGCAGGGCTGTGAGACTGAAAGGCCAAAGTGTACCTAAGGGTCAAGCACACCGTCTATGTATTGAGCGGAATATATGGGGCTCCCTGACCTTCAGTTCCGGCGCTAACCATGGGGCACGATGCAAAAAAGCTAAAAATGCTAAAATAAAATAAGTAAGTAAATAAATAAATAAAATTTTTTAAAAAAGCTGCTCTGAGCCTTGTTAAAAATGTATACTGGCCCCATGACCTCACAGGATGTGGCCAGGATCAGAAGACAATGGGTGTGGACGTGTTTTTGTATAGTGCAAAAATTTCACCCGGAGGCCTGCTGTGGCCACTTTACCGTTTTCCATGGAAGGGTGGTGTGTGTGTTGGGGGTGGGGGCGGAGGGCAGCAGCACGGGCTGTGCCCAGAGGAGGGGCTGGGGAGCACCCCACCCCGCCCACTCTCAGCTCCCCTGCATGGTCAGCCCGTGGGGCCCTCGTGTTCTTAGCAAGGACTGGAGTTGAATCAGCCAACTGATGGTTGGGGGAGAGTCAGGCCCCTGCTCTAAAGTCTTGGTGGCTGGAGTCTCTCCCTCCCCAGCGCCAGCCATTGGGGACTAAGGGCTGAAGGAGCTCGCGGCTGCCCTCCTGGAATCCACTCCCATGGACAGGACGCAGGTGTGGTGGAGGGAGGCTAGGAGTCTGTGAGACCTGCCCCTTCCGGAGGGCTCAGGGCACAGGCTGTGGTGCCAGAGGAAGGGCAACGGGCTAGGAGGGCCTAGAAGACCCTGTGCTAACCCTGACCCTAACCCTATGGGGCCGGGCCAGACCTCACTGCGGTCTCCCCCTCGGCACTGTTAGACGCTTCTCTGTTGCCTCCTCCAGCCAAGTCTTAAGGCACGAGGAAGATGAAACCTCTCATCCAGATTCCCTCTGTTCCTGCCTGTCCCAGTGCCCTCACTCAGTCCCGACACACCCCTCCACCCACCACCTCCTGGCCCAGAAACACGCCCCAATTCTGGCACAAACACACACGTGCACGCCCAGGCAGCACAATGAGCTCAGCCTTGCCAAGGTCCCGAAACCCCGGGCCCTGGGTGGAGAAGGCAGCAGGGTCCTGGACTCCAGCGCTCAGGCCAGACTCCGCTGGCCCTGGGCCCCACATCACAGGAGCCATTCCCTCCCATAGGCCCCTCTGAGCACGCTCGATGCTCTGTGCCTCCGCCACTCCCAGCCATGACCAGCCCTGGGTGGTCCGCTGTGTGGGCGGCTCGCTTGCCCTCCCCACTCACAGAGGCCCGTGTCCTCCGACTGGCACAGCAGATGCCCACCCCAGCTTGTGGCTGCCCGCCTCTGGGGCTGTTGCTATGGTGGGGGAAGGTGAGCCTTCCCCCTGGAGAAGAATCAGGTTTTGTTTTCTCGTTTCCCGCTCTGCACATGTTACTCCCCCTCCTCCCTGCCTCCCTCAGCCCCTTCCTCATCTGCTCTCCCCAGCGAAGGCCGGAGCCCACAGCTGCAAGGAAGTGCCACCTGAGGCGGCGGGGACAGAGGAGGTGAAGGAAACTGAGAGCCTGTGAGCTCATCACCCTCACTGCCTGCTTCCGGAGCCTGAGCCCAGCCCTGCCCGCCCAGAGTGGTGTGAGGGAGCACAGCCTCATTTCTGGGCACTTCTCACTCCCGCTGGCCCTCCAGGAGAGGAGCTACTGGGTGTGGCAGGCCCCCAGCCTGGGGTTTCTGTGCCTCTGGGACACCCCTCTCCCCGCCCCGCCCATCTCAGACCAGCTGGCTTTCTCTCACCTTCCACTCCCCTGGGTGTGTTTATCTTCCTAGACTAGGGGGGCCTCCAGGGCAGCGACTCTGCACTCCTGACTGGTATGTCAGCAGCCCCAAGCCCCAGGCTGTCACCTGTCACCGGACCTCCACTCCTCAGCCCCAAGCTGAGCCTGTCCTCCCTCCCCCCGCCCCCCCAGGTGAGACCAGCAGCCAAATGGTCCTCAGTTCCCATCCTGGAGGGCATCGCCGTGGCCCCAGCCCCTGAGTTCTCTCCCTTCCTTGTCTCTCCCACCTCCCCCCCACCCCCACCCCTCCTCCTACCTGGCTCAGCTCCTAGCTCTTCTTGGCAACGCCTGGCCTAGACTTGCGCTACACTCGTTTTTCCTCCTCTGCGCTGCCAGGCTCCCCACCCGCCCCGGGGACACCAAGTCTGCCGCGGCTCCCTCCCCCATTGTGGAGGGCCGGGGCGGGGCGGTGGGGAAGGAAGCTGAGAGGTGGGTGTTCAGCGCCTTCTCTACCCCCAGCTGCACTCCTGGCCACACGCCAGCATTGTCTCCAGGGGCTGGGGGCCAGCGAGGCACCAGGCGGACATCACTTGGGTGGGGAAGGGGAGGGTGACAGGAAAACAAAACAAACCACCAAACACCCAAAACCAAAAACCAACTGGGAGCAATCCCAGTTGCTGTTCTTCCCAATAGGGTAAGTGCAGCAACTGGGATTGCTCCACAGACTCGGCTTCCAGCCAGCGGTCCGAGGGCTGGTAACTTCCTCCGAGCCTTCCTGCAGCCTCCCTCCCTCCCGGGGGCTCAGTACTGTGAGCACTGGCCAGACCGACTCCAGCAGGTGTGAGCATCCTGGCCTGGGTCCGAGCACCTGTTCGCAGAAGTCCATTTTTATCCTAGGAGATAGCGGGCGAGGCTCTGCCTTGGTGGTTCCAGGGCCCAAGGAATTCCAGAGCGTGGCCTGGGCTTCAGGACCCTGCTGGGAGGGGAGGGATCAGATGTCTTCTTTCATCTTCTCCATTAAATGGATCCGCTCCCAGGATAGGCGGGCCCAGTGCCCAGGCCCAGTTCCAAGCCCTCCTTTCCAAACTGGGAAGACTGCACGCTTAGCATCCCCCCAGCCTGGTGGCTCCTCACACTTCCAACCCCCCCCACCCAGAGCCAGCGGTGACAGGAAGGGGAAGGTGGACGGGGCGACCATGTGGCCCCCCTCTCGCCCTGAGTGGTGGGAGACTGGCGGGAGCACAGTCACCTGCCTGGTAGGGTGGATTTAGGAAAGCTCCCTTCCCAGCCATCCCACTCGGGGGTAGATGCCCTGGGAAGGGCCCGAGGGGCTGCCGTCTCCTGCTGTGAGTGGAGAGGGGAGAACATGGGAAGGTGTGAGGGTGGAAATGTGTGCCGCGTGCCCAGGAAGTGCCAACATTTCGGAGGGCAGCGGCATCATGCCAAGGCGAGGCAGAGGACTGTGGAGCAAAGGAAGACATGTCTCTTCAACCCTAACATCTCTGAGCACCACAGCACTCATGCCGGCTCCCTTCCACCCGGGGCTTGCGTTCAGGAATGGTCACGACCACACGCCTTGGAGATCATTAAAGGGGCAGAACGAGGTGAGAGAGGAAGCCTGGGAAGACAGAGCCCTCGGGGAGTGGGCAATACTGTAACTTTCATCCTGGCCAGTTCTGAAACGTCCCTGCTCTTGCCCTCCAAGTGCCAACCTAGAGGCCGCTCTGCCCTCGTTTGTTACCTGGCTTTAACCTACTAGAACGTCAACTTCCTGTCCCAAGGCCCCACGCTTAATGCGGCCCCAGCCTCCCCCAGCCAATTCTGTCTGCAGAAGCACTGACGGAAACTCATCACTTCTTGTTCCTGCTTCCTGCACTTGCTTTTTCCTGAACCCCCCTGGCTCTTCCCCACTCTCACCCTCCAAGGCCTACCACCTCCGCCTCGTCTCCGAAGCCTTTCAGACCTCCCCGAGAGCATGCACCTGTCGCTTCCACCTCACACTACTTTGCTAAGCTTCTTTATGACATTTCCCATCAGTGCTCTGCAGCCTGCGGCCCTCTGTCCCTGCACTGCGGCCTGTGCTCTAGCTGGTCTTCATGGAGACGAGATTCCACTTCTCCACCCAGTTCTCCTCAGAGGATTGTTCTCATTTGAGACACACATACACACACACACACGATTCCACTTCTCCACCCAGTTCTCCTCAGTGGATTATTCTCATTGGACACACACACACACACACACACACACACTTCTCCACCCAGTTCTCCTCAGTGGATTGTTCTCATTAGACACACACACACACACACACACACACACACACACACACACGACTTCTCCACCCAGTTCTCCTCAGTGGATTGTTCTCATTAGACACACACACACACACACACACACACACACACGAGATTCCACTTCTCCACCCAGTTCTCCTCAGTGGATTATTCTCATTGGACACACACACACACACACACACACACACACACACACGTTGCTTCCCATCGTACAGAGGCGGCCTTGCTTCATGTCTCCATCCTCCTCCCCCCCATTTCTCCTCCGCCCACTACAGACACTGCCAACCACTTCACCGAGGCCCATGAGGCCACCTGTGATCTCCACGTTCTCCTTTGCTAATTCTTCTCTTCTCCCAACCCCATGATGGACTTCCTGTACCTTTTCTCTACCTGTATCAACCCCTGAGTTCCCATTCACCTCCAAATGTACCCCCAATCCCGACCACCACGTCCTCAGAATCTCACTCAGTCCCCGAACTGGCCCCTCTAGAGTTATTCTCAACTCAACGGCCAGAGAATTCCTGGACGTAGATGGCGTCAGATCATGTCATATCCTTTGCTGAAAACCTTCCTATGGGTCCCGCTCAGAAAATGCCCAAAGAAGTCTGCCCCCACCCAATCCCCACTGCTCACTCTCTCTAGCATTGTCCGCCTCCTTGCCAGTCCTCCTGCGTGCCAGGCACCCGTCCGCCCTGAGGCACGTGCACAGAGGCCGCCCCACCTGCCCCCGCAGTACTGGCTGCACGTTTCAAGCATTTCTGCAAACAAAAACTTGGGTGAAACCTAAACCTTCAATCCACCACCACAGTCCTCTGTCCGGCACTCCCGCCTCTTTAACCTTTAAACTGCTAACTGTTCTCCACAGCACTCATCACACACATGCGCACACGTGCAGACCCAAACCTGTCAAAAACTCCACGAGGGAAGGATGTGCACTACTCACCGCCGTATCTCCACTATGCAGATCAGCACCTGACATAAAGCAGAAGCGTGATATACACTTGCTGACAAGTCTGTAACGAATACGCTGTGAGCTCAGTAAGAACTCGGGCACAGTTAAAAGCAAGCACCAGAACGCACATGGCTGAACATAATAAATGCATTAAAACCTGGTGGGGTGCATAGGGGCTGGGAGGAGGGGGCAAAGGAGGGAAACAGGAGACATCTGTGATACTATCAACAATAAAAAATATATGTAGAAAGAAAGAAAATTAAATGCACTGAAAACAGCAGCTTAAAAAAAAAAGTCACATCACTGCTTAAAATGGCAAGGTTTATTAAGGTTTTTCCTCAAGAGGCACGGCCAAGCCCGTGCTGCTTCAGAGAAGCAATTCACAGGGAACGTGTGTCACACCGCGCGCCCAGAACCACAGAAGGCTGCTGCTTAACGAGCCAGAGAGCGTGCACCCCGTCCCAGTCCCCTTCAAGTTCTTGTTAACATCGCAAAACAGATCCACCGTTCCCAGAAAACAGGACGAGGCGCCCGGTTCACAGTCGCCAGCTGTTTTTGACAAGAATATTTAAGCAAGACATGGCATTCAATCAGTGGACGGCATAGTCACTAAACCCACGAGGAAACGGCAGTAAGAAAAACCCATGCTCCGTGCAACGTCACACTGCACTTTCAAGAGGAGGCTGCAGCCAAAACCGGTTTGGCTCGGTGGATAGAGCGTTAGCCTGTGGACTGAAAGGTCCTCGGTTCGATTCCAATCAAGGGCATGTACCTTGACTTGTGGGCACATCCCCAGTAGGGAGTGTGCAGGAGGCAGCTGATTGATGTTTCTCTCTCATCGATGTTTCTGACTCTCTCTCCCTCTCTAAAAAATCAATAAAATATATAATAAAAAAAAGAGCAGGCTGCCGTTTTTACCTCTTTGGGGAACAGAAAGCCTAGAAGCTGGGTGGCTGGGCTGCCTCAGAGCTTCTATTCGCTGCTCTCCCCGCCAGGCGGGCTCCTGCCAGGTCCTGGACCAGCACCCAACCACTCTGCCCTGAAGCGTTTGGAGCTGAGCCCACAAGGGCTATTGCAACATACATTTAAGTAGCACCTTAAGTACAAGCCCCACATAAAACAAAAGGTGGTTTTACAAGTGATTTTCCTCCTCTCACACCTGAGGATGTCTTCAGTCTGGTTTCACCACACACCATTTATACCAGCCTAGCTTACTCCTCTGGAGATCCTGTGCGGGCTCACCCGGGAAGTGCTAAGGCAGCCTCTCTTTCTCTGCCTCTCGGTCCTAAACTCAGAACTCAGACACGTACACGGACGGACCGATGTACCTCACAACATGATGAGGCACAATCGTGGAAACAGGCAGGTCCAGAAAATGAAGAATGCTCACGAGTGGAGACAAACAGCTTCAGATCAAGTAACCCATTTTAATCAAGTTGGTAATAAAATAAAGATCAGTATCTGCCCAGGGATTAACTTTTGCCAAGTACATTCTAGCTTCAAAGCAGCAGGCGGCTTCACTGAGGAGCCAATGGTGGCCAGTGATGATTGGCAGGCGGAGGGGCCACACTCAGAGTTGAGCTGAGTTGGAGGGGGAGAGAAACACACCAAATATTTCTATGAGAACGAGCCCAGTGGCCGCGACTCGATAACTGACAGCACTGCGCATAACTGATCTGCCTGTGTGTCTTCCCTGTCCACCCAGATGGCAACCTCTAGTGGGAGGGCCTTATTGCATCTTAGTGAGGCACACAGTGTTTACAGAACAAATGGCTCCAATACATACTTTTAATTCAGCGCTTATAGAAGTGTTAACTGATGCTGAAGTGCCCCCTTGTGGAGGATGAAGGTATAGCTATATTACGCATTTCCTGCTCATTTCTAAGACGAGGGTGTCTGGGCTATCACTGCACCACTAAAGTTGTTTGTATGTTAGCAGGGAAAGGCTGGTTGACCGTCAGTGGTGACATCAAGTCTCCTTTTCACTGCATCCTCGTCATACAAGCAAAGCCCTCACACTTAAGTAGTGGCAAATACCAATATGGTGCCAGTTCTTGGCTACTTTGTCAGGAGATTCATACACAAAGGACACGTTGAGCGATGAAAATCAATCGGACTTTCAGGCGCCCTCCCTCTGGAACTGAGGCTGCGAGATCATACAGGGACACCACCTGTATGTGTCCGATTGATTTGCTCTGTGTATATCTCTTATGTCTTATTTTCTGAGAGATATACACAAAGCACCTATGCGACTTCACTCACACTCCTCTCAGATTCCTCAACCTATCATAAAGCCCTGTCTCACCTTCCACAGGACACCTTTCTGTCTTACTCAGCTTGGCAGATTCCTGAGAGAGCAAGGCCTGTCGGATTCAGCCAGGCACACTCTGCATAGGACTTCCGGGCCTTTTTATTCACAGTCCTACCTCTATCCCAAGATCGTGACAAAGTGATCCTGCACCTGTCATCCTTCTGCACCCTGTTCTAAAAGAGAGGACACCAAGTTCACATAATCGAGCAGACTGTAACTTGGAGTTATTCTTAATGATTTCTACTTGATCTAGTCTATGTAATAGGTAATATTCATAATTTTTCACTCATTTGTGAGATATCTATGATTTTAGGTCCAAGGGGATGTTTTGAGAGGTGAGACTTAAAGCAAAAATGTCTTAAGAACCTTAAAATATGCTACCTTCTTCTGGACAGACTGGCCCTAATGCTTTACTTATTTTTTTTTGTTTGTTTTTAATTTATTGCACTTACCAGATTTTTGGCCCCTCAATCCCAGACATAGACATAAGTATAAGTGGACCAATAGGAGGTAAAGTATCAGGTAACTAAGTTTATTAGAAACTCAAAGGAATACAATTTCCTTTTTTTTTTTTTTTTTTTTTTTTACAGCACTTGACATTTTCTAAGTCAGAGTTTTCCAAGTTGGTCAGAGCTTAAAATCTGAGTTTAAAATTTCAATTTCCTAACTGGCTGACCACACTCCTGGAAAGTCTCAGCGAGGTGTGAACGTAGTGCTGCCTCTCCCTGTGGCCACGAGCCAGCATCGAGATCCCTGAGCAAGGATGCGGGCTTCCTGGTTCTGGTGTCTTCCTAACAGTCAGGGGCGAGGCACAGGGCCCTAAGCTCGTTCTTTCCTTCTCCAGATGGAACTGGCTGACAAGCTGTTTTGCTCGACTTCTATGGAGACTACATAGGTCATATCACCCTTTGTCCATGTCCTAGTTAAGCCCCATCTTTTGAGGGAGGAAGGGAGGGAGGGGAGAGAGAGGGAAGAGGGAGGGAGGGAAAGAAAGAGAGAAAGAAAGAAAAAACTGGGAAGGAAAAGAAAAGCTAAAATCTTGAGCAGTACTTTTGGGTCTACCACTGTTATGCTACTCTGCAGAGTCAAAGCAAAAGCACCTATGCGACTTCACTCACACTCCTCTCAGATTCCTCAACCTATCATAAAGCAAATGTGAACATTTTACATGACATTTCATTGGTGGGTTCATACGCACAAATTAACAATGGCAAAAAGATTCCCTTAATGAAGTTACAAGCCATGGAAGATTTGCAAAAGTTAAACCCTGGTACAGTATTAAACTTATCTTTTTACATATAAAAATAATACACAGTGGGACATATTATTCAATAACATACATTCTTTAAGATTGAGAGAGAATATACAAAACTATTCTATGTAGCCCGCTGTATGTTACTGTATAGGAGGAATAAATACATCCAGAACAGACAGTGGGAGGTCTGTCCTCATGACCAGTTACTGAGGGGTTTCAAGCCAAGTGCTCTGCAGGTGCCAGGCAGAAAGGAGCTACCTGTTGCATTTAAAACAATGTGGTCATTATAAAATAAAGGCCTTATATCTATAAACAATAACAGAAACACACAAACCAAATGAAAATGTACTAAAATTTAATCATTCATAAAAGCTGTAATTTAATCTGACAGTAAAACACAAGAAGCAATATTAGAGTTGGTTTAGTATATTATATATTTTAGCTTTGAAAGCCATAGAAATCAGTTATCCCAGTTTTTTTTTCCTATAAAAGACCCATTTTTTTCCAAAGCATTATGCACAAACAATTTTAATTAGAATATAATGACAGAATGATATTTCATAATTTTTAAATATAAAATGAAGTCAATGACTCAAAAAAGTTATCTGCTGTAATGAGTTTGAGGGGAAATTTCATCATCTATATCATTACAGATATAAAGTATAATGGTTCAACGTTTAGTGCCTGACGGGAGGAATCATGATAAAAAGGTCAATATGAAATCATTTGATTATAGTAGCAATATCTAACTTCTGAAATGCATCCATGCTCTTTTGTATAATCATATTAGAGTCAAGTATATTTATTTTCACATCTGTTATAACTGCTATTGCAAAGGAGAAATACTATTGTCTTATTTTCTGAGAGATATACACAGAGCAATTTTTTTTCTCTCCAGGGAACTTGTGCAAACCAATATAAGATCTAAATTCTTCACATAATATATAAAACAGGAGAAGCCGCTTCAGATTTATTTTTTTGAAGTCTGGAATGCTGGCACTTTCCAATTAGGCAACAGTTCTTCATTCCTGTAATCTAGAATGTTGAATAGATACAGATATATGTTATAAATATTAATCTCTTGATGTCAGAATGTAACAGTAAACAAGCAGATATTTAATAATATAGAAAGAAACAATGGTTTTGGCTGATCATTACCAGAGAACAAATTATACTAAGCAACTCCCTTTAAAAGTGTTTAAAAAGTAGTTTTGTTATACTTGTTTTACAATATATCTGACAGTCCTGTCTATAAAGAAGAAAACAGTATTTGTTTTATTTCTATCCTATTACAATTTTATTCTGAAAGTTCCTTTCCACTAAGGAAACAGCATCCACCTGCAAACTCTATGAGAATTAAAAATAATTTTTTTTATTGGTTTTTAGAGAGAAAGGAAGTTAGAGGGACACAGAGAGAAACATTGATGTGGAAGTGAAACTGATCAGCTGCCTCCTGCATGCCTCCTGTGGAGTCTGAGCCCACAGCCTGGCCTGTGCCCTGATGGGAATCAAACCTGCAGCCTTTGGTGCTTGGGATACACAACCAACTGAGCCACACCAGCCAGTCCATGGGAAAGCCTTTCCTCAACTATTTTAGGACTGTGCCTGTTAGGGTTACCACTTATAATATAATACAGGTTAGGACAGAGCTGATCCCCGTATACAAAGGCAGAAGACTGACAGTACCATTGCTCAGCAGGAAAGAGGTTAAAGGAAGAATTATCCAAAAATGTATTTTTCTCCTAGATCTTTAAAAGTGTTACACATTAGAAAGAGATTAACATATTCTAGCACAATTCTGCCTACAGGCTAAGGCTAGATAAGCTACCCTCAAGCTTCACATACTCTTACGAAAAATATTTACCCCATATCGCAGTACTTTTCAAATGGGATCAACAGGGCCCTCAAGTCGTAATCAGGACAAAATGCTCTGCATGCAAAGTATTCCGACTGCTAAGTGGCCTATTCCCAAACACTCACAGAGAGCTCCGGTGACTTATTAACTATGTTATGAGTTGAATTAATAGCAGAGCCCAAGAATTTATGCAACCAGGAAGGATGAAAGTCTTATTTCTAGATCTAGGCCAAGATCTTTCCTCTACGGCAAATCTCACAATACACAGGAGGATGTGTGAGGGTGAATTTTCACAAGAGGCCAGGAGATGGCACCTCTTCCTTTAAGTATAAGTTTAATGGCCATTTCTGAGAATTGGAAATTAAACCAGGACCAGCCAAGGTAATGACATACACAAGCCAGTCACCTCTAAGAGAGTTAATGTGTTCCAGAGCCCCCGTTTCCTCTACCTTGCACCCTTACCTAAACACTCACAAGTACCAGCAATTTCAACAATAACCACTTTCAGGGAGCTGATGATTTATAGTAATGAATCGATTCCACTAAGCCTCAAGCAACCATCTGGCCGGAAGCTGTCTTTCCTGAATCCAACTCTCAGAGGTGATGCCATGCTCCTGCCCTTCTGCCCCTTTTCCTCTTCTTTCTTTGAAACTGCCACCCAGCTGTTTCCCCAGAGAGAGAGACATTCTCTCATCTGTCTAAGAAGGCACGTTCCAGCTATTGTGTGGCTCTGCAAGAGGTGATCTACTGAACAGACCCAAGAGGAGTTAGCACAACCAATTCTCAAGTGGAAACTTGACTTTCCTCTAAATAGACCAAGTTTACAAGTTACATAACTTCATTGGGTAAACATATTCTTTTATGGTATTGCTTATGCGGTAGATGAAGAAAAGCAGAAATTGTTAAATACAGAATTACAAAAAACAAACAAACGGCCCCATAAGGGCCTGGTTTCTTACTGGATAGGCAGCTTCAAGGCTAACGCTGATTGGCTCACTTAATAAAAACTTACGCAGTATTTAAAGTCAATTACTACTTCGAAGCCTCCAGACAAAACATTGGAAAGAAGTCAACTGTACCTGAGATAAAGCAACTACCCAAACCACACTGACGTAGCACCACACACCCAGTCAAAATGAGCAACAGCCGAAGCCGGTTTGGCTCAGTGGTAGAGCATCGGTCTGCAGACTAAAAGGTCCCAGGTTTGATTCCGGTCAAGGGCATGTACATTGGTTGCGGGCACATCCCCGGTGGGGGGTGTGCAGGAGGCAGCTGGTCGATGTTTCTCTCTCATCGATGTTTCTAGCTCTCTATCTCTCTCTCCCTTCCTCTCTGTAAAAAATCAATAAAAAATATAAAAAATAACAAAATGAGCAACAACACTGAAGCTGGGGAAGGTGGAACTCATAACCGCTGGTAGGCATGCAATAGGTGCAACTACTTTGACAAACATTTTATTTATTTATTTTTAATATATTTTATTGATTTCTTACAGAGAGGAAGGGAGAGAAATAGAGAGCTAGAAACGTCGATGAGAGAGAAACATCTACCAGCTGCCTCTTGCACACCCCCTACCGGGGATGTGCCTGCAACCGATGTACATGCCCTTGACCGGAATCGAACCTGGGACCTTTCAGTCTGCAGACCGATGCTCTACCACTGAGCCAAACCGGTTTCGGCTTGACAAACATTTTAGTGGTGTCTACAAAAGCTGCCACATACACACAGTGTACAACCTACCATGCCATTCCTGGATATACACCAAACAAATACATGTACATGTGTACAAAGATTTGTACAAGAACATGTGCAGCAGAATTACTAGTCCCCAAAAGAATCCGGATGCCCATCAACAGCAGACTGTATAAACATATTGTCAGGATAGTTATGTAATAAAAATGAACTATTACTATATACAATCAGAATAATTTTCAAAAAGACCCTCACATTTTTCAGTAAAAGAAGCCAGACGTCTTGTTTGCATTAATTTCAGAGGCAGAACTAACCCACGCTGTGAGGATTCAGGGCAGGGCTTCCATGTGGGGGAGGAGATTCTTACTCAGATGTGAGTATGTTCACTTTGGAAAAATTCATCAAATGTGCGCATCAGCCTCTCTGCAAGCCCTTTGTTTCACTGTTCCCCTTCATTTTGGCCATGGATTTGGGAGTGACCTTGGTGGCCATTCTATTCACTCAATCACTACTTTCTGAAGGTTCTTCTACACCAGGAACTGGGGCCACCGTGGTGAGTGAAACAGACACCGGCCTTCTCTCACAGCTTAGAATCTCATGGGAAGAGAGACAAATTACCCACAAGATGAGCACAGCTACAGTGAGGTATCACATTTACAAGTTATAGAAGCCGGAAATAGCTCATCAGGTGCCATGAGAAGTGGTGAAGGTTGGAGACGGCCCAAAACAAAGCCAAGGACAAGAGAGGCACGTGCTCTGCCCTCGGCACTCACCTGGCTCAGAGCTGCTGCTCACTGTGGGCCTAAAGCAGCAGGCAGGATTTCTTTTTAGGCTTCTTCTTTTCCACTGGTGTTTTCCTATTGATCTGTCTGACCAGGTCATAAAATATCTAAATGGAAACAAGAAACATGTACTTATTCAACCAACATTTGAGACCTTGTTCCACAAAATTTTCTTGGGTCTGTTAAATATTATTCAGATAAAAAGACTATAGAACCGAAGGCCGGAGAGGAACAAAGAGAAAACACAAGGCTGTGATAACCTAGTGTGCTCCCCGCTCCCACCAGGCTGTGAGCGAGCTGAATTCTGGGATTGCTGGGATGCTCCCCATGGCAAGCACACCAGCAAGTGAAGCTTATGCGCTTCCAGGAAAGGAGAAAACGTCTTTTAAAAAAATGATGTTGAAAAGAACAAAAGGAAAGGGGACCTCAAGCTGTCGCTTGGTTGGTGGTGGCAGCTGGGGACTGCACCAATCTTTTAGGGATCCAGTCAACTTTGGCCTTTCACACTCAGTCAGGCAGCTTACTTGTTAAGCATTCCTGTCCACAGCTACGTTCTTAAGATAGTGGAGTGCTTAAGTCATGGACAAAAAAAGCTTTGTGCACCTGCTGTATCAGCCAGAAAGAGAGTGAATTACAGTCCACACTCAGATTTCTCCCTTGAGTCATGCGCTAAAGGGAGGCAAGACTCACCAAATTCTGTGATATCCATGAGGTAGTGTTTCTCTATAAAATCACTATAGCAACTACTTTAATTTCTGTGGTTTCCTACTGACTGTGTAACCTATTCATACATATCTGCATAAGCAATCGCACAATACACGAGTGATGTGACTTTTCATATACTCCTTTCTGACACATGTCTAGAGCAGGGATGGGGAACATCCAGCCCGCAGGCGGTATAAGTCCCACAAAATATTGGGTCTGGCCCTGCCAAGGCTTTAGGGGTGAGCTAATTAAATGTTTGATCAGCCGAAACTGATTTGGCTCAGTGGATAGAGCGTCGGTCTGCGAACTGAAAGGTCCCGGGTTCGATTCCGGTCAAGGGCATGTACCTTAGTTGCAGGCACATCCTCAGTAGGGGATGTGCAAGAGGCAGCTGATCGATGATTCTCTCTCATCGATGTTTCTAACTCTATCCCTCTCTCTTCCTCTCTGTAAAAAATCAATAAAAACATATTTAAAAAAAAGTGTTTTAAAAAAAAATAAATGTCTGATCAAATACAACAGGCTAATTTTTAAGTTGATAATTGTGTATGGCCTTCGAATGATGTTATAAGTATCCAAATGGCCCCTGGCAGAAAGAAGGTTCCCCACCCCAGATGAGGCTTAGCAGGACTTTAAACATATTCATTTAACTTAAACATCCTCTTTGCATATAAATATGAATGTCTTCATTAAGTGACTTTATGCAAACAAAGAATTACTTAAAAGATTTTTTTTTTTTCTTCAATAGTTTTTGGCTGTTAACTTAAAGGAGACTAAAAAGACACTCGTCTTTGCTGCCCAGCAGCTAGAGGTTACCTCATTAACATTGATCTTTGACTTTGCAGAAGATTCTAAAAAGGCACAGTTACACCACTGTCTTGCTAAATTCTGACCCTGTTCTTTGCCAACTACTCGTTCATCTTCCAGGTCGCATTTATTGCCAACCAAAATCATCGGAACCTGTGGGAAGGAATGACACAAAATGAACACTAACATACTTGTTACTTATCCTCAAGAGTAAGCAACTATTTGTCACCAATTGCAATGTGTAAATGAGGACCATATGCTTCACCAAGTGCTTAAACAAAGGTATGAACATGAGTGCTAGAGAGAGAAGGTAGATGGCAGGGGAAGAGACAGAAAAATTATGGA